TTTAAAGTAGGTTACATCTGAAAACAAAACCATTTTGTTTTCATGCAGGCTGTGTCAGTCACCTTCCAGGGGATGTGTGTTTAAGGCTGCATGGACAAAAACAAAAGTGATTTAACTCCTCAATGAGGAGAGAATTGAGCAGAGAGACTGCATGGGGATGATCTGCTTCATTAGTCGTTTTGGTGACTATAGTGTTCCTTTAAATATTGCCCTTCTGTGCTATTGAACAAAATTAGTGGAAGAAATTAAACGTTATTCTTCTTTATTTGCGTTGTGTGTCTTGGTTGTGCCCCGACAGAACTTGATTTCCATGTTCTTTGCTAAATGTATGGATGTTATATAAGTTATGGATGATGTCCCATGTTTTATTTATCGGTGTCGTTTCCAGTGACAGTTTCCCTTTAATAGCATTGTGCATTTCTCCGATATGAATCTTCATTTACTCTATAAACATGTCTGTTTTTGCACATATATTTAATGCAAACAAGAGAGGTACATTTTGAATATTTCATACTCTCATCCATTGTACAGCATTCTTGTTATACTCATAGTATGAAGTTCCTCTTACCCATTATGTTTATGAAACAATATATTATTTAAACATGTCTTATAAGAGCAACAGGCAAATGTGGAAAAGGATAATAGGTTACAATTTATTATTTTCTAATTTAAAGAAAGTGCCAATGCCAGACACGTTCAGTAATGTATATTGCATTCACCAGCCCCCAGCAAACATAGGAAAAGCTCATAGGTTCTTTTTTTTGATAATAACTGAATTGATGTACTAAGATGCAATTATGTTCTGAAAATGTAATAGCCCTTGCACTCACATACTGAGCTCATAGAAAATCTACTCCTCTTGATATAGTCGCTGTGTACAGAGTTTCATAGGAGACTATAAAAAGAAGTCTTAACAGTAGAGACTAGACTTGTGAATGGCAGAAAAATTTGGTTGAGCCCCAAAAAATGTAATAAGGCCAACATGGCCATTCGGCTCATCCGAATATTGTCCATGTAAATAATTCGGAGAACACCTATTCCCATAAATTAAACAGGACTGCAGTGATAGGCTCATTTTATCACTCTCATAATGAAGCTTATTCCAGTTCAAATTAAGTCGACTGAATTCTGACCAAACAGAATGGTATATTACCATTTAAATTTAGTCCACATACACTCAATATTTGTGACTTTAAGTGTTTGGTGACGTTTTTAACATTCTGTCCAGCTGATCTCTCTCTCTCTCTCTCCTTTTCTCTCTCTCTCTCATCTCTTATTTAGGGACCACTGACACTAAATCACAAAGCAAATTAACCCATTGTCTGTGCTTTTCTTCCCGGATACATCCATATGGCATTCTGGAGTTACGGATTGGCCAAAATTCAGATTAATTGCAATTCATTTGAAACCGAATGGACAAATCTAGTAGAGACAGAAAATCTATTCTGTATGCCACGTTTATCCGTCATCATGTGCATTATTATGAGGCTTAATTTTTTTACTCGATCTACAATTTTATTTGTAGTTCTGCTATTAAATCACATAGACCAAATTATTTGCTCTGTTACTACTCTTTAGTCCATTAATTTTAAAATGAATGTAGTAACCTGATGGTGTTCACTTAATGTTTTATATATTGAAGGAACATTCCAAACCCCTAAAACACTTTAACTTACTGAAGTGATTTAGGGTTAAAGGAGCACCTCAGTCACCATAATAACTATAGCGCACTGTAGTGATTATGGTGCCAGGAGTGCCCTGTTGCACACCCAATGTTAGTAGTCAAACAGTTTTAGAACAGATTGACTTCTTCCTATGATACCCTGGATTTTCTTCTTGTGTATACCCACTGCTGAGTAAATAATTATAAAAATAGAACATTTTGACTTCTTACCTCTGTGCGGCCTCCACAAGAAGCAGAAACTCTGTCATTTAAAATACCAGTTTGGGAAATTAGAGATTTTTTTCACCACTGATATATTGGCTTATTTTACAAGTGTTAGCAACCTGCATTTTAAATGTTGTGGACTACACCTCCCCTGATGTTATGCTAGCATCATGGCTGTAAGAGCCTTATGGAAGATGTAGTCCACACCGTGCCGAAGGTTGGCTTTGACTAGTTTATGTTATGCAGATAAGATCCATGCTCATCAAGATCCACTATCACTAGTGAGTAAATTACCCCCCAACCCCAAATTCCTTAAAATTCTTGTAACAATTGAGACTGTGACAGTTGACAACATGCTTAATCCTTTTAATGACAATACGTCTTTGAAAGTTTTCTTTTGAAATCAATAATATTTGATGGTTTGTCCAGAAGTGTTGTAGCCATCATTTTATTTTACTAGACCTAGAATCCATAAGTGGCCACTATTCATTCAAAAAGTTTAAAATTACACCAGGACATAAATCTCTATGGAGTGTTGTGTGATGTTATCTAAATATTTGACCTTTCAACTTTCAAAAAGACATTTTGATGTATCTACTAGACAAAACTACTATAGAATAACAATCATATTTTAATGAATTTGCCCCATGTAATCCTTTCATTCTAAACGATATTATTTGGATTTATTACAATGCAAAATATAGTTTTTGTTTTTTTTGTTTTTTTGGGGGGATTACCAAACACACTGCTGAATATGACCTTTAAATGTGAAGACTGGGGAACAGACGATACTATAGTTTACTAATGGGATGAAGACGTGGGTTTGTAATTGTCATCAGTTCTTGGAAGCCTGCGTGTAAATATTTGCTTTCCATGTAAACATATTTTTTGGGGAAAAACAGCTAGCATCAACATTTTTTTTCACGTATTTGTTTTCTTTCTTCATAGATTGTGACATATGTAGCACTTTATAGGAATTATTATTATGTTTGGTATTTATTTAGCGCCAAATTATTCTGCAGCGCTTTACAATATTATAAAGGATTATTAAACATTTAACAATAAATGAGACAATTACAAAATGCTACAGGAACAACAGGTTGATGAGGTCTTAACCCCTTAAGGACACATGACATGTGTGACATGTCATAATTCCCTTTTATTCCAGAAGTTTGGTCTTTAAGGGGTTAAACGAGTTTACAGTCTAGAGGTAGGCATTTTCTTTACAGTGCACTGTTATAGAAACACTAAGGATATTTATATTTTTATTTTACCTTAGTGCGTTGCTTCATTCATTTAGAATGTGAGCCCCCTTTTAAACTTATAGAATTAATTAAAATATATTATTAAACTAACCTGCATGTCAGTTGTGATGATCTCACTCACTTTTCACATAGAAGAATTGGGGACCAATGGAGCAATTTTTGTGCTCCACCATTCAAATTCTTCAAATGTTTGAATAAAATGCATCACTATGATATGCATTTCATCTCAATTTAGTATTTTTGGATAAGCTTTTCAAATAATGTTATATTTTTAGATAAACTTTTAAAATGATTTCATATTTTGAAAAAGATTTTAATATTTCAATCATTTTTGATACAATGATTTTTTTTATATCATAAATATGTTGATATTTTAATATTTCGCAAAAAAAGTTGATCCAAAAATTTTAAATCAAGTCTCAAAACTTGAAGATTTTTGATTTTTAAAGGTCTTAATGAGAAGTGTGTCTAGTGTCCATCAGTCAGACAAGTCTCTGGCAAATGTAAACATACAATTTTCTATGAAATGGCATTGCTTTACATTACCAGAGCAAGGGGATATTGTCTATACAAAATTAAATATTTGTTTGCTTAGAGGGTCCCTTTAATTCCTTCCACCAATAGGTATTTCACTGAGAAAAAAGCTACAATACCGTAAAGTACAAATGTAAATTTATTTATACAGTCTATATGTCATACTATCCTGATATGTACCAAAAATGTGTGACATGGGTCAAGTTCCGTATTTATAATAACTTTTTAAATACTCTCTGCTTAACACATCAAGAGTAATTAAAGAAATTATACTTTATACCAAATATACAAAGTAAATCTCCAGTATTCTATCCTTATGAAAACATGTATACACACAGACACACACAAATCCCAAACCATGAACTGAAAGATTACTGAAATATGTACCCTAGTATTGGACTCTATGACAAATGCTATAACATTTCAAATAAACAACACTCTACAGATTGGCAACAATAGACTCACAAGCAAATTATTGGCTCAATATTTCAGTCTCATGTCTTGATAAATAATCTTCCCGAGGACTGAAATTTTGGCTCAACAAATCCATTATAAGTGCTCCTTACCCTGGAAGGATCTGAACAAATGATCTCCTCTTACAAAAAAACATCTATTAGACCCTGTTAGTCTCAATGGTCATCCCTGCTTCTATACATTGGGTGAACAGGGAAAACCATAGAGACTAACTGTCAGTGTTCAAACCCTGTCTGACCCAAGGTGCATTTATCTGGCCGAGGGATCCTGCCTTATACTAAAGGTAGGGGTGAGGGGTTTTTTTTCTTCTCATTTTTCACATATGCTTCCTTAAAAAATAAATTTTCTTTCAAAACTTGATAAAATAATTGTTATGTTAAAAAAATATATATTTGAGATGGTCGTCCTTTAAAGTCTATAATTTACAGTATAACAGTAAATTATCTTTTATTTAATCTTTTTATTAAGTAATCACAATCCAGAAAGGAAAATTAATATAATATGTATCAAAGTAGATGAGTAGCATTGGACACAGTCAGTAATCACACTGCAGAATGCAGTATACATTTTCAAAATATATTTATATGCAATAAAGTTTGTCCGTTCTATACTAATATACTAGAAAGCTATTCAATACATACAATGTAGCATTAAGAAGTAAAAAAAAAAGTTAAAGTGAAAAGCAAAGGGGTTGGACAGTTTTCTCTCTCTAGAGAGACGTGTCGCTTATTAGTGAATATTTATTGTATATATGATTGTTAAAGCGACACTATAGTCACCTGAACAACTTTAGCTTAATGAAGCAGTTTTGGTGTATAGAACATGCTCCTGCAGCCTCACTGCTCAATCCTCTGCCATTTAGGAGTTAAATCCCTTTGTTTGTGAACCCTAGTCACACCTCCCTGCATGTGACTTGCACAGCCTTCCATAAACACTTCCTGTAAAGAAAGCCCTATTTAGGCTTTCTTTATTGCAAGTTCTGTTTAATTAAGATTTTCTTATCCCCTGCTATGTTAATAGCTTGCTAGACCCTGCAAGAGCCTCCTGTATGTGATTAAAGTTCAATTTAGAGATTGAGATACAATTATTTAAGGTAAATTACATCTGTTTGAAAGTGAAACCAGTTTTTTTTTTTCATGCAGGCTCTGTCAATCATAGCCAGGGGAGGTGTGGCTAGGGCTGCATAAACAGAAACAAAGTGATTTAACTCCTAAATGACAGTGAATTGAGCAGTGAAATTGCAGGGGAATGATCTATACATTAAAACTGCTTTATTTAGCTAAAGTAATTTAGGTGACTATAGTGTTCCTTTAATTAGGAGTGTGTAGATAGCTGCATCAATATATTCATTAGAACTTAATACACAAAGAGGACAGTATTTCTTAACCTCTTATTTTCTAACCATACTGCTTGTAGTAATTATAGATTTATAGACATCTATCAGGGTGTGTATAGTATTTAACCCCTTGACGACCGATGACGGTTCGTGACCGTCATCGGAAAAATCCCCTTGGGTCTCCCCTCGGCAGATCAGGACCCCGCGGCCACGTGGTCACTCGATCACATGACCGTAATAGGTGTCTGTATATCTGCCTGCAGGGGGACTGTCTGTGCTGACAGGGAGTCTCCCTGCAAGTGGAAAATCAGAAAAAAAGCAATCATTGTAAAAAAAATAATATATGTATTTATATAATATATATAATGTCATACTAAGTGTATTTTTATATTTATATATGTATATTAATATAAAAATACACTTTTAATTTAAATTACACACGTATATATACAATATATAATAAATATATATAGTGTATGTATATATATATATATATATTATCATAAATTATAAATAATATGTTAATAAAAATAAATAACAAAAAGTAAAAATAATTTTTAATAATTAAAACAAATTATATATTTATATGTAATTTTATTCTAACAGTATTTTGATATTAATATATATATTTATATCAAAATACACTTAAAATGTAATGATATATATCTATGTATAAATAAATAAAAATAATACGAAATATACATATGTCCATATACATAATTACATAAATAATTTCATAAATATACACGTAGACGTCAAATATATAAATATGTATATATATTAAAATTTTACGTGCGTATTTATGTAATATTTTTACCTAATTAAGTAATTTTAATGATTGCAATTTGAGGGACCTGCCTGCCAACCCAGGCCGAAAGTCCAGAGAATTTAATTTGCTAGCACTGTGTTTAACCCTGTAACTTTCTATGACACCCTAAAACCTGTACATAGGGGTACTGTTCTACTTGGGAGACTTCTCTAAACACAAATATTAGTGTTTCAAAACAGTAAAACATATCACAGCGATGATATTGTCAGTGAAAGTGAATTTTTTTTGCATTTTTCACACACAAACGTCTCTTTCACTGATGATATTATTTCTGTGATACATTTTACTATTCTGATACAATAATATTTGTGTTCAGCGAAGTCTCCTGAGTATAACAGTACCCCACATGGAGAGGTTTTATAGTGTTTGTGAAAGTTACAGGGTCAAATATAAGGCTTGATTTTACTTTTTTTTTTTTTATTGAAATTTGTCAGATTGGTTAGGTTGCCTTTGAGAGCGTATGGTAGCCCAGGAATGAGAATTAGCCCCATAATGACATAGCATTTGCAAAAGAAGACAACCCAAATTATTGCAAATGCCTTTTTTTAGTAGCCACTTAGTTACAAACACTGGCAAAAGTTAGAGTTTTTTGCATTTTTAACACACAAACAAATATAAATGCTAACTTTGGCCAGTGTTTGGGACTAGGTGGCTACTAAAAAAGACTGGACATACCCCATTTTGAATACCCTGGGTTGTCTACTTTAAAAAAATATGTACATGTGAGGTGTGATTCAGGGATTTATGAAAGATAACGGTGTTACAATGTCACTATTGATAAATTTAAAATATATATATATTGAAACAGCAATTTCCTACTTGTATTTATAGGCCTATAACTTGCAAAAAAAGCAATAAAGCATGTAAACAGTGGGTGTTTTTAAACCAGGGACAACATTTTGAATCTATTAAGCAGTTTTGTTCATTAGCTTTTGTAGATAAGTAAACGATTTGTCAAGTAAAAGTCCAAAAACATGTTTTTGTTTTTAATTTTTCTCAATATTTTTTTTTTTTTTTTAAATAAAATATATGACATGATACAAATAATGGTATGTAAAGAAAACCCTTCTTGTCCTGAAAAAAAAACAATATATAATTTGTATGGGAACCATAAATGAGAGAGAGGAAAATTACAGCTAAACACAAACACTACAAAAGTGTCAAAACTGCTCTGGTCCTTAACGTAAAACAACGCAAAAACAGGCCTGTCCTTAAGGGGTTAAAGGGACACTCCACTGCCCAAATAGAAAACAAATGAAAATCTCTATTTAGCAGTTATACCCCAATGAAAGCGTGCATGCATATAATTATGCATTTTTTTCATTGGAGTTATATCTAAAAACAGCTTGCAAAAACTTCAGTTCTCTTGTCTGCAGCCTTTGCAAGCCCTCCCTTTCTAACCCCGCCCAGACTTTCTATGACTGTCCAATCACAAACTTCCCAATGCAGCTCAAAGAGAAATATTTGCAAGGCAGGTGCTCTGCCTCTTGAGCTCAGTGCAATTAAGCTAAACAAGCCAGGAAGTAACACGACCCATTGTCTGCATGCATGCATGGGGGGATGGTGTATGGGTGTAAACAGTATAATTTATAAAAGTCTAAATTTCTATCAAAATCTGCACTTTTTCCAAAATGAAAAAAATAGGTCACACTCTTCACACATAAAGCTTTTTCGCAAACTAAAATGCTTTAGGGGTCTGGAGTGTTCCTTTAACTTGTGCATTATTGGTTGATTTTGAATCTCGTTTCAGAGCAACATAACGTAGACTCAGCTGCACGGGTCAGAATGTAAGCAAATACCACAAAAATATACATACTGCTTCAATAAGAAATAGATTTAAATCACAGACACCCACAAGACATTCTTCTGTAACTTGAAAATAAGCAGCTATCAAAGGAATTAAAGGAATAGGACAAGACGGACGCTACATGTAAATCTGGAATGACAACACATGAACAGGAATGGAATTAAAGGAATAGAGAATCTATTGTAGAAATCTGCCTAGTATACATTGAACACCTCTCTGTTCAATTATTGATTAATAATTCTTTACTACTTTGCATTGATTATACATTACACATTTTTGAAACATAGTGTCATTGAATATTATTCACATTTGTAAGGCTCAAACTTGTTAATGTTTATGTATATACATTTAGATTTCATCTGGTTTCTAATTAGCTATTTTTATTACTTGTTTGTGTGTTGTTTTATATTTTGGATTACTAATAAAGTTTGAATATATATTTTTTTAAGTTAGGTGTGCTCCTATGTTATATTTTATAAGCCTTAAATTGGCGCGTGCTGAGGGCTCTATCTTCTAAATATTGGTCCAGGGAACGAGGTCCTTTCCTATGGCACAGGCACCAAACGTGGTATCTATCTGAGTGCCACACACATCTATTCTAAACTATGTTATCTATGCATGATGAAAATAAAAATAGATTTAAAGATCACTTTCCAGGGCACTCAAAATACTTGGATCCTGGGTGTGTTTTGTTTTTTTGTAAACTACTCAGCAGTGAAGGGGTTAATGTACGTCAGCTATGCAGCCCGATACAAATCTGGGATTTTCAAGTAGTGCGACACACAAACGTACAGCTAAATTTGAAAAAGATTGGTGATGACACAACTCAATATATCCAATGTGAAATAGGCCAAGTTGTCTTCTTTTGAAAATGGTATCTCTGGATAGAAACTGGTATGCTGGATAGAAAGTGAAGTTAGGGGTTGCTATTGTCTCACGAAATGTTCTTTATGCACATTTTCTCAAATTACGAAAAATGGAATTTGAATACCATCAAAGGTATACATGACACATACATTTAAATTGCAGGTATTAAGCATAAAACGCAGTCTTTTTGTATAAAGCAAGTGAAAAAAAGGCAGATTTTGAGCTTTCAGCAAAGCTTTATTTAAACTATTTTTTTTTTAAGATTTGGTGGTAATTGGCCATGATGTATTCAGTCAAGTTTCTACTCTGCTCTTAACACTGCATGTTAATGTATATTTTTTTTATTAGTCACACCACCAGAAAACTACTTACATTTAAATTCCTTGAAAAAATTACCTTCTTTCAGAAATCCTTATAATCACTCCTGTAATCTGGAATTTAGAATTCACACAACACAAGAATTTTCTCTTAAAGTTTCTAATACCTTGATCATTCATTTAATAATTCTTTCAATGTCTGGCAGTTTCTAAACAGGTGCTGTGACTCAGAGTATGTGCACATTTACGTGGTATTAAGGAAGTACGGGCAAAAGAACTAAATTATCTAACACCCACATCTTCTTAACGTATTTTATATATGCTACAACTTGCATGTTCCCTCGCATAGATATCCTGTATTCGCACGATTTCAATAGTTTAATATTTCTATCATATAAATCTAGATTATACAGTTTATATAAATATATGTGTGTGTGTTTGTGTGTGTGTGTGTATATATATATATATCTATATAAATTAATGTGAAATATATATATTTACCAAGAAGAGCACATTCAACCAGATTTGGACTAAAGAACGTAGAGGTATCTTCAAATATACTGTAAATATGTAGGTAGCTAATATAGTTTTAAAATGTACAACAAAACAGCATGGAAAAATATATTTAATGCCATTAAACAAGTTTGTACCAGTCCCTGCCGTACTCTGAATTTAACCACTTCACTCAACCGTGTGTAAATCGTTGACAAGATAAGTGAAGGAGAAAGTAGTCTATAGACGTGTCATTTTATTTCCTTGGAGCAAGCTTAAGTCAAATGCATGCACAGCTTAGAATAAAATCTATTTGAATTATTCTGCTATAATGACATTTTGGTAATACATGGCGTAATGTAAGAAAATTGCTTTCATTATTTTAAACTCTAGAACATCTTCCTCTCCACGCATTCCCTTTTTCTTAAAAGGATGTTATTAATAGAGAGAACAAACCCACATTACTGAGAACCATCCGTGTAGCATTCAGCAGGCTAAAACATAGAATATCAGGAAAATTCCAGGCACTATCACAACTTCATCTTAATTATGTTGTAATGGTGCCTGGTGCCCCTGGAGACTACCATTTATGAATGTTTCACTCCAAAGTTGTTCTTACAGAGCCCGTCAGCCTAGCCCAGGGTTGTAAAGGTAGATCCCTAGA